TAAAGCGTGGGATTCAGTGGTGTAAAGCGTGGGGTGCAGTGGTGTGAAGCGTGGGGTGCGGTGGTGTAAAGCGCGGGATGCAGTGGTGTAAAGCGTGGGGTGCAGTGGTGTGAAGCGTGGGGTGGAGTGGTGTAAAGCGCGGGATGCAGTGGTGTAAAGTGTGGGGTGCAGTGGAGTAAAGTGTGGGATGCATTGATGTAAAGCATGGGATGAAGTGGTGTAAAGTGTGGGGTGCAGTGGTTTGAAGCGTGAGATGCAGTGGTGTAAAGCGTGGGGTGCAGTGGTGTAAAGCTTGGGATGCAGTGGTGTAAAGCGTGGGATGCAGTGGCCTAAAGCGTGGGATGCAGTGGTGTAAAGCGTGGGGTGCAGTGGTGTGAAGCGTGGGGTGGAGTGGTGTAAAGCGCGGGATGCAGTGATGTAAAGTGTGGGGTGCAGTGGAGTAAAGTGTGGGATGCAGTGGTGTAAAGTGTGGGATGCATTGATGTAAAGCATGGGATGCAGTGGTGTAAAGTGTGGGATGCATTGATGTAAAGTGTGGGACGCAGTGGAGTAAAGCGTGGATGCAGTGGTGTAAAGCGTGGGATGCAGTGGTGTGAAGCATGGGGTGCAGTGGTGTGAAGTGTGGGGTGCAGTGGTGTAAAGCGTGGGATGCAGTGGTGTGAAGCGTGGGGTGCAGTGGTGTGAAGTGTGGGGTGCAGTGGTGTAAAGTGTGGGATGCAGTAGTGTGGAGTGCAGTGGTGTAAAGCATGGGGTGCAGTGGTGTAAAGTGTGGGATGCAGTAGTGTGGGGTGCAGTGGTGTAAAGTGTGGGATGCAGTGGTTTGAAGCGTGGGATGCAGTGGTGTAAAGCGTGAGGTGCAGTGGTGTAAAGCGTGGGGTGCAGTGGTGTAAAGCGTGGGGTGCAGTGGTGTAAAGCGTGGGTGCAGTGGAATAAAGCGTGGGATGCAGTGGTGTAAAGCGTGAGGTGCAGTGGTGTAAAGCGTGGTTTGCAGTGGTGTAAAGCGTGGGGTGCAGTGGAGTAAAGCGTTGGGTGCAGTGGTGTAAAGCGTGGGATTCAGTGGTGTAAAGCGTGGGGTGCAGTGGAATAAAGCGTGGGTGCAGTGGTGTAAAGCGTGGGGTGCAGTGGTGTAAAGCGTGGGGTGCAGTGGAGTAAAGCGTGGGGTGCAGTGGAGTAAAGCGTGGGATGCAGTGGTGTAAAGCGTGAGGTGCAGTGGTGTAAAGCGTGGTTTGCAGTGGTGTAAAGCGTGGGGTGCAGTGGAGTAAAGCGTGGGATGCAGTGGTGTAAAGCGTGAGGTGCAGTGGTGTAAAGCGTGGTTTGCAGTGGTGTAAAGCGTGAGGTGCAGTGGTCTAAAGCGTGGTTTGCAGTGGTGTAAAGCGTGGGGTGCAGTTGAGTAAAGCGTGGGGTGCAGTAGTGTAAAGCTTGCGAAGCAGTGGTGTAAAGTGTGGGGTGCAGTGGAGTAAAGCTTGCGGTGCAGTGGTGTAAAGCGTGGGGTGCAGTGGTGTAAAGCGTGGTTTGCAGTGGTGTAAAGCGTGGGGTGCAGTGGAGTAAAGCGTGGGGTGCAGTGGTGTAAAGCTTGCGAAGCAGTGGTGTAAAGTGTGGGGTGCAGTGGAGTAAAGCTTGCGAAGCAGTGGTGTAAAGCGTGGGGTGCAGTGGTGTAAAGCTTGCGAAGCAGTGGTGTAAAGCGTGGGGTGCAGTGGTGTAAAGCGTGGGGTGCAGTGGAGTAAAGCGTGGGGTGCAGTGGTGTAAAGCGTGGGGTGCAGTGGTGTAAAGCGTGGGGTGCAGTGGTGTAAAGCGTGGGGTGCAGTGGTGTAAAGCATGCGAAGCAGTGGTGTAAAGCGTGGGGTGCAGTGGTGTAAAGCGTGGGGTGCAGTGGTGTAAAGCATGCGAAGCAGTGGTGTAAAGCGTGGGGTGCAGTGGTGTAAAGCATGGGGTGCAGTGAAGTAAAGCTTGCGGTGCAGTGGTGTAAAGCGTGAGATGCAGTGGTGTAAAGCGTGGGATGCAGTGGTATACTGTAAAGCATGGGGTGCAGTGGAGTAAAGCGTGGGGGCAGTGGTGTAAAGCGTGGGGTGCAGTGGAGTAAAGCGTGGGGGCAGTGGTGTAAAGCGTGGGGTGCAGTGGAGTAAAGCGTGGGGGGCAGTGGTGTAAAGCGTGGGGTGCAGTGGAGTAAAGCGTGGGGGGCAGTGGTGTAAAGCGTGGGATGCAGTGGAGTAAAGCACTGGACTCTAGAGCAGTGGGGACGTGTTCTCTAGAGTGACAAATCACACTTCTCCGTCTGCCAATGCAATGGACGAGTCTGGATTTGTTGGTTGCCAGGAGAACGGTACTTGCCTGACTGCATTGTGCCTAGGGATGGGTATCGTTAAGGTTTTATCGGTATTACTACTCTTACCGATACTGCTTATCGATCCGGTACTTTAACGGTATTCTTATCGGTTCTTTTTGGTGTTTTTCTTTTTCTTTTCTTTTTTTTAAGAATTAAGAACATAATTAACTTTATATTTTGAAATGTAAAAAAAAAATTAAAAAAGTAATGCTTTAACAAAACGAAGAAAATATATATATTTGTTATGCAGCAGCATGCAGGCTTTTATTGTTTTATATACAAAAGATAGGATACAATTAATCAAAGATAGAAATTATATACACAGTGCTTTAATTTTAGGAAGGTCTACTAACATTACTTTTTAGGTAATATATTCTGTCTGAAAATAAATCTAATTTAGTAATCAAATGTAAAATAGCACTGTATAGTTTATCATAGATAGATTAATGCTTATTAAATCTAAAGTTGCTCATTCAAGTGTTTTTGTTGTTTGATTTGCATTAATGGCTGAATCGTCAGCAGATTTATTAGACTCCTGCCCCTTTAAGACCGAGAGCAAATCTAATCAGTAACTGAACCACCATCATTTTCTCCCTATTATTTACGTCCATTTAAGACATAATTGTGTTTAAGTGAATCTCAGAGCTGGTCATTTTGACATTTTTATGTATATTTGATAGTTTAGGACACACGAAGCCCAAATAGGCTATAGTCTTCTTGTTTCGGAGCGCGCACCGCCTTGTGAACAGCGTCTCTTGCGCAGGTTTTTGTGTTTTTAATAGGCATTTTATGATCTAGCAACAGTAGAGACAGCATTTTGCAACAAATGCCGATCGTGCTGATTCTGACGGCACGTTTGGGTTTAGGAAGAACTGACAGCGCAGCGCTGTGAAGTGAAGGAAGTTGCGCTGGACAGATCATGCGTCTCGTTTTTAACGAGTGTAACTTATCTCAAATATTTTTCTTATAATCTTTGGAAGCCGAAATCTAAAATAAAATTAGAATAATATCCCAGATCTAAAGTGCAACCTCGTTTGAATGTTTAGTTCTGTCCTCATTGTCACTCATTAAGCAGGGCTGTCGTGTTGCGCGTGCTGTGGCTCCGCGTGAGAGATCGCTCTCTCTCTTCTCTCTCTTCTGAACTGCGAATAGCAAATTTGCATCACAGACAAATGGTTTAATTAAAATATAGTTTATATTTAGAAATGGCTGGCGAGATAAACATGTTCAAGATAGCGTCTTTATAGGAATAAATTGTAACCTACGTGTAATTACTTAATTTCTCCAGTAGAGACAGCAGAACCGATAACGTCCGAGCTTATCGATACAGCGGTCTTTCAAAATTCAGCACTGGGGCCCGTTTAATACCGGGTTTCGGTACCCATCCCTAATTGTGCCAAGCGTAAAGTTTGGTGGAGGGGGTGTAAAAGTATTGTATTGTCTTCCGGTTCTGTTGTCAAGCCATGTTCAGTGACGCTGATGACGTAAGACGCTGCTGATGTGTTATCTGGTGCACCCAAGCTTCATTCACAGTCTGAGGGAGACGCACGCTGTAAACAAAATAATCTTTGCAAACATGCCTAAGGATTTCAACACAGAGGAAGACTTGCATTTTTTTGCCCAACCATATTTATTTGAACCCGAATACCCGGACACAGCGGACTCGTGAATGCGGATTCGCAACAGAACCGGAAGACAATACAATGCTGAATAAAGTCGTAGTTTTTGTTATTTTAAGACCAAAATGTATTTTTTTGATGCTTCAAAACATTCTAACTAACCCACTGATGTCACATGGACTAGATTGATGATGTCTCTATTTCCTTTCTGGACAAGGACAGTATATACCGTACATACATTTTCAACGGAGGGACAGAAAGCTCTCGGACTAAATCTAAAATATCTTAAGCTGGGTTCCTAAAGATGAACGGAGATCTAACAGACTTTTTGTTTGGAAGCTTAAAGAAACAAGTTAAAAATAATTTACCAACCCTTAATAAATAATTTTAACACTGAAGATGTATATTTTTAGATTTTTTTTGTAAAAGACATGGATAAGAACCCCTCGACAATGACCTCACACAGTCTTGCATCAAAGTGTAAAGATCTGAGACATTTTACGAGGCTTTTTATGTCTTTACAGTGCAAAGAAAATAGAAAGAGAGTGAGAGAGGGAGAGAGAGAGAAGTTGGGAGAAAGTGAGTGAAGAGGGGGAAGGGAAGAGTTACGGCTTCAGACTCACTGTATTCACGTACCAGTGTGTGTTTGGGAGGAAGGAGTGGCTCTGAAAACACTAAATAAGAGCGAGGGCGAGTGAAAAACCACATCCACACATGCAGAAGAGATTTATGAGACGCGAACCCATCGGCAACAGCATGACCGCTGGGAAAAATCACTTCAATTCAGCCCTAATTACTCGCATGCGACTGTGACATCAACAAGAAGCTTAATTCAACACACACGGCCTCTCTAACACACACATCTACAGACACTTCAAATATCTGGAGGACAAGCATGCTTGAAATACCACTAGACTCTGACACTCCTTACACAACCATAGTATTTGATTATAAATTACTGCATTTTAATAACAAAACCTGTTTTTTAGTCAATGATTGACTCTGGCACTGTGTGACATTTTTAATAAAGTGTTATTTTAATAAAGCACTTCACTTACTACTGTTGAGCATGCGGTGCATTTGTCAAACGCCAAACTCGCAGGGAGGACGTTATCAAATCTTGCCAGGAATCCTCGAATCTGAAAAGATAACAAATGTTTTTTTTAAGCAACACACAATAAGTAAAGAAAATATTCCTCTATCTCTAGCGCCACCTGGTGTATGTTAGTAAGAACAGCAGGAAGTAACAGGTAACACGTTGCACGTTACTTATACTAATAATAACAGTAAGTAAATCTTGCATAATTACATGTAAATGACTCTAAACCAAACCCTAACTCTATAGAAAGTACATATTTAAGCTACTTCAGCTTAAAATAAGTTCGAACCAAATAAAATTTAGGTTACACTTAAAGGTGTCAGTGTAATTATATGTTCAAGTATGATATGTTTCAGTTTAGTTTGCGCCAACCCTGGGTTTTAGGCCCAATGAAAATGGTTTGACTTTTAGCGTGTTCATCGCCATAGTAACTAATGCTGAACGGCTGACCTGGGCTGGGTCAGTGTCGCATGTCTGATGCGATAAAGCGATAAAGACAAAATCTTCTGGCTTTTGCTAATGCTTATTCAGAATAATAATTTGTATGATTTAGATATTACTTATGTCATTATTATACCATTAATTGATCACACACGTGCAATTTTAGCTGATCAATTATTATGCACATATTAAATGAATAAATATAAAGGTTATATAAAAACACAATTTAGAATCAATAATCAATAGAAAAAGCTATAAAATGCCTACATGTGAGCTTGAATGTTCCATTATACTATACCTTTATAAACTGTATGAACTAGCAACTTTTACTTGCACTGATATAGCAAAACCTTTTCTTTTAGTTGTGCTCTTTCATAGACAGCTATTTTCTTCTTGCCGTGTAAATTAAATTTGTTTAAATTCTTAATATATATATTTTTTTCCTCGTAATATTGGGCAGAAGAGAGAGGTGAATCTCAGTTGCTCTGTTCCTCAGCGCGTGATTGGCTGTTCGCTCCTCTTTAAATACAAAATCATTCTTAAAATCAAAACAAAATATACTCTATTGCACCACACACACACTTTCCAATCCAGACACAGTTGTAGCATGGTATATAAAACGTCTTACTGTGACAATACACGGTTCATCTCAGGTAATTTCTTGAGAATAAAGTATATTAATAATGCAATGCTAATCAAGCAAGCCTTTCTCATCCTATATAATACGGTTTAATTTTAAATATCCTATATACAGTAATACTGTTTAATATTAAATATCCTATATAATACGGTTTAATTTTAAATATCCTATATAATACTATATATTTGATCTGTGTTTTTAAATTAATTTCCACTATATTTATCATATTTATTGTATATATATACATATTTATTATAAAAAATGGATTTTATTTGTTTTACATATTTATTTATTGTACTATGCTATATTTTTAGGCATGTGTGTGTGTATTTATTTATAATATTTTTTTTATAATACAAATGCATTTCCTGTATTATTTTTCTACATTTTTTTTCCACTTTACAATATTTTTACTCTACTATATATTTGGATAAACCCTTTCTGTAAGTAAATGTAAGTGATTATTGGTGGTTTCATGAAAGCTCAGTGTTTTCTGGCGGTGGAATAAATGAGTGGTGTGTGTTTGGTCACAGTCACACACTCCTCACAGTCTCGGGAGTTACTATCTTAATTGAAAGCGAATTAAAGAAAGAATTGAAGAAAGTAATTACGCATTACCCATGAATCCATGCGCTCCAGCTCAAGACACTTTGATGTAAATCCACATTCATGGTGTCAAATCCACAAAATAAGACGGATTCATATTTAGAAATTCCTCAAATGTCTTTCTGTTCAAATCTAATTACGTTTTAAATCAAATTAGAGGGAAGAAATATCAGGGAAATGAAGTTTGAGCATGAGCTCAACCATATTAAACATGTCTGAATGTCATCGCAACAAAATATGAAAGCAAGAGTCATTTACTGTAAAGAAAGATGCATACTTTACAACCAAATCATGTCTGTGACTGAAAAGACTTTGTTTGATTGTGATGTCAATTTTGACTTAATTGCACTCACTTTTGACTTTTTCACTCAATTTTGACTTAATTTCACTCAATTTGGACTTTTTTCACTAAATTTTCACTTTATTTTACTCAATTTTGACTATAAATAGTCTAAATCTATATAAAGTCTCAAATGTCTTATAAAATCAGAAATGGGAGATATCAAAATTATATTTTAAAATGTTTAATTCTGTGGCGGAAACAAGCTTCATATTAATTTGATCAAAAATAAAAACAGTGGAATATTAAAAAAAGTGAAATACTATTACAGTATAAATCAGCAGTTTTCTCTGTGAATATATAGTAAAGTATAATTTATTCCTGTGATCAAAGCTGAATTTTTAGCATCATTTCTCCAGTTTTCAGTGTCACATGATCCTTCAGAAATCACTCTAATATGATGATCTGATGCTCAAGAAACATTTGTTGAAAGCAGTTCATATTTTGTGGAAACATGATGTACACAATTTTAAATGCCTTTCCTGTCACTTTTGATCAATTCAATGCATCTTTGATTGATAAAAAAAAAAAAAAAAAAAAAACACTTTTACTGACGCTAAAATTCTAAATGAGAGTGTGGATTGGGATGTTGTATCCATGAGTGGAGCTTCACAACACCATCGAAATACCCAAACGTTCCTTGATAAAGCTTCATTACACACACAGTCCAGAGACAACACACACTCCCACTAGACCATCACAGATCTCCTGGTTATTAAAACCTAACACTTCAGAGCAGATCTGCTGCAGTTCCTGAGACATCCAGCAGGGGTCAGCGTGAGCCAGCAAGACTCGTCCCCCAACGTCGTCATGCAACATTAATACAGAAACCATCAAAACACTACAGCCTATCCAGATCAATTCATAAGGTCAGGGATTATAATGACCCGGTCGTGGCACGAGTCCGGTTCACCAGCGTCTGCTGCTGTGATGATACCGAGTCAGTCAAGAGAGCTTTCCTGATTAATTCGTAAGGAGTCGCGTATAAATTATGAGTTCTTGAGGAGGGAATATTCACGCTGTAGGAGATCATAACCTCTTTAACGTCTGTAGCTGCGTCATTAGCCCCCTGTGTGTGTGTGTGTGTGTGTGTGGCTAAGCTTCAGCACACAGGCAGGGGGTCCTGCTGTGCCACTTTATGAATTATAGCGAGACTGTAAAATTGGAAAATGCAACAATATAAACAACTGCATGTAAAATGCATCATAAATGTGAGTGCAGGTTGTCAATGGTGTCTTTAAAAATAAAATCATACACTGAAAAAAATGGTGTTGAATGGTGGAGAAGAAATAATTACAATGAAACCGCAAGTAACACATTGACTTAAACATGAGATTTTTAATTAGTAAGACTGTAATACTATCTTCTTGTAAAATATATTAAATGATGATTTGCACTGCAACAAATAATATTTTATATTTCTCGTTATCCTCGAGGAATAGGAACAGTGTTTCTGTCTTGTCTTCCAGCACAAATATCGAATCATTCTTAAATCAAGACACATTTACTGGAGAAGAACAATGACTGAAGTGAATTTATACTTAAAATAAGATAACTTAATTCTAAAGGAAAACATTGACCTCATTGGCAGATATTTGTTATTATTTTAAGCAAAAACTAATTTTGATTTTTAAAGGAACACTCCGACTTTTTGGGACTTTAGCCTATTCATCTTACCTCCCAGAGTTAGATAAGTCCATACATACCTTTTTCATCTCCGTGCGTGCTATAAGTCTGTTTGACGCACCCACCGCTAGCCTAGCTTAGCACAAAGACTGGATGTGAATGGTTGCAGCTTTCATAGTAATCCAAATGAGTGACAAAATAACGCAAACGTTTTCCTATTTACATGTTGTGGTTTGTATAGTCACAGAGGCCATATGAGACACAGACATCTTTTAACTGTATAAATACTATATTTTCTGAAGGCGAAGCACTGCTACTTGGGCAGAGTGAACCATCACCTGAGACGCACCGTGACGAAGAGCAGAGAGTTCGCTCAGTGTTGGAGTAAAGAGTCAGCAATTACTAACGTTAGATAGAAAAGCATACACTCTAAAAAATGCTGGGTTGTTTTAACCCAACTTTGGGTCAAATATGGACTAACCCAGCCGTTGGGTTAAATTTTTACATTACATTTTTAACCCAACATTTCGGGTTTGTCCATATTTGACCCAAAATTGGGTTAAAACAACCCAGCATTTTTTAGAGTGTAGTTTGTCATGGGTGTTTGCTTTATTGTATGAGCTGTGACAATAAACAGGGGAGACCAGGTACCATGTTTCATTGATTTCCAACCAAAAACGCACCCAGATGTATAAATATCACACGAATAAATAATTATTATTAGAGGAATCAATATATTTTAAATGCAATTTATTAGCTGAACCAAATGTATTCAACAGTATATAATATACAGTATAATTGTATAATAGGATAGAATACGGGGAAAGTAATAGCACAAATTGTTTTTGCACAATGAACTCACAGCCTATCGTACCCTTTTGCACGCTCAAGTTCGTTATTTCCATGGTTATTTCGAATTTAGGCTACTAGGCGCGCCACGCGCAGGGTGCAAGTTCAACGCAGTGAACGCGCTCGTTTTTTTCCAAGCGCGTCCGCACCGCATCAAGATAAAAACATATTGATACCCTAATCATATAATAGTGTCACTAACGTTACATTAGCTCTGGCTAATGGCATTGTTACAGTAGGTCATCTAAAAACATAACGGAACACTTACCTCAGCCGCAGGTGATCCGCTTGTCCTGTCTGTGCTACAGATGGGATGGCCGTATCCTTCAGCACATTATGGTCCGTGTGGCAAATTCCATTTTTTCAAAATAGTCGTCCATTGAAATGTACTGAGCAAACATAATGTCCCTTGATAATCTATTTAGGTGTGTTTGGATAAATATCCAGAGTAAGTAAGTTAGCCATTTCTTCATCCAGTCAGCGTTTTTAGTTGGAATTCTGTGAAACATGGTATTACCTCCCCTGTTTACTGTCGCAGCTATTTACAATAGAGCGAAAACCCATGACTGTAAACTACGCTTTTACTATTTATAAATTGCTGACTCTGTTACCCAAACACTGAGCGAACTCTCCGCTCCTCACCACGGCGTGTCTCAGGTGATGCGGTTATCACTCCGTCAAAGTAGCAGTGCTTCGCCTTCAGAGAATAGTTCCCAGGTTTTATACGGTTAAAAGATGTCTGTGTCTCATTTGACTTTGTTATTTGTACACTCTGTGCCTATACAAATCACAACATGTAAATAGGAAAACGTTTGCGTTATTTTGCCACTCATTTGGATTACTATGAAAGCTGCAACCAGTCACATCCAGTCTTTGTGCTAAGCTAGGCTAGCGGTGGGTGCGTCAAACAGACTTATAGCACGCACGGAGATGAAAAAGGAATGTATGGACTTATCTAACTCTGGGGGGTAAGGTGAATAGGCTAAAGTCCCAAAAAGTCGGAGTGTTCCTTTAAACATTTTTCAGTAAACAAGACTTAATATCTTTAGTCAATTTACTTCTTCAGTAAATGTATCGTGATTTAAGAATGTTTCGATATTTGTACTGATTCATAATCAATTCTTTTTGAGTAAGAAAGATGGAAATTGCAATTATTAAGTGGAATCAGAATCAGTTCATCAATCCCATCTATAACATAAATACCTCTGTCATACACTTTTTTTTTTAACTAAACGGCAAACACATCTAATTAAAAAAATCATGGCGAGGACATCACAACCATGAGCTCATTAACATATGACCTCCCATCAGCAATACCTACACAGCGTTTAGCCAATGACAGCAGAGCTCATTAAAATACTGAAGTCTCAAAGGGATAATTCACCCAAATCATGAAGTCATCATCCATTCATTCTCAAAATATTGTATGTTCCACACAAGGAAGAGGATCATACAAGTTTGGAATAACATGAGTAAAGTTGACATTCTTAATGTTTCCCTTTAAAGGTACAATGGCAAAACTGCCTGTTCAAATATATGCACGTGTGCACTTGAGCGATGCTTTTAGCCAAAGTGGCATTACAATACATCCACGATGAAGGTGTTTATCAGATCCATTCCCTGAGGAATGAACACAAGAAAGGGCCTCGCTATGAATGTATTTGGTGTGACACACAATGTGAAAAAAGTGAATATGATCTGACATGGGAAAAGAGAAGCAAATGGTGACAAAAAAGCTGCCAAATTACTTCAGAAATCAGGATTTGTTTGGTTATTTCTGGAGCTTGATAACCCCCGTCCACATCAGTGTTATCTTATGATTAACTATAATAACCCCAGTCCATATCCACGATCACTGCATGGAAAAGAGCAGTGTGAACTTTCTACTAAATATCTCCTTTTTACATGCGTGTTCAATGATAACTCAAAGGCTCAGACTAATACTAGTCATGTTTTTTTCTACAAAAACCCCCTTGACGGACATTATAATTAACTCGGGGAGAAAAAAAAATATAAAAAGAACAGAATATGACCCTTTCAATTCTGTTCACGCGTGCGAAAGTGATGTCACACTGAATCCTCAGACGAGAGTTGCAGGTCAAGAGTGAGTCTAAACACTTTCTCTTCAGCCCCAATTTACCCTTCCCTGCTTCTCCTCCTCCTCCCTGCCTCCAGACACTCATAAAACTGTGAACGACCCCAAGCGGGTGGAGATGAGACACACACTGCCTTCAATAAACACTCTCATGAAAGATTAGCCCACGGACTTGCTGCTGTCATTGTACAGTTTCATTCTTCAATGGCAATCCAGTGAAAACAGTGAGAAGAAGAGCAGAACTAACACGCTTGCCTCGACCTCTGGTGAAGATGTTATTATTTAAAAAATAAGTAATTTAGATCTATATTTGTACACTATTATTTCCTCTGTGTGTGACTTTGGTTTGACTTTTTGGAAGCCTGAAAAAAAGGCATGAAATGTTGCAGAAAATTCTATTCTGTGATGTCACATGGTAAAAGAAATCAAAATATCTATAGGGTGTGTTTCCATTTTTGGAAAAGGATGTATGGTATATTAGTGGCTGTTCAGTATCGCAATATTTTGCGGTCGCAATTATACAAGTCTGTCATATCGGCTACATAAAATTATTATTGTGTGTTTGGGACATGGATTTTAATGGTGAGACTTGTGTTTTTGTAATCAGGCTCTCAAAAAATATAGAAAAACTTGGATTTAGATATATCAGCCAATATATCGGTTATCGGCTTTCAAATATAAAGAAATATCGGTTTTCGGTATCGGGCAAAATTTTCATATAAACATATATTTTATAATATAAATATATATATATATATCCATGACTGACCTGATGTGGGACGAGACCCAGTGATGTTGGTGGTTCATTCATCCGGTCATCGCTGCTACTGGCAACTGCGTAACCTCTGGCAGAAAAACACAGATTTATGCTTAGAGACTTTCTGTTAGTGTGTGTGTGTGGTGGGGGCAAGAATTGCACAACAACTTTATTTATTGTTCTGTCTGTATCATCACAGTGAGCTTCTGTGAGGGTTTACACATGCCCAACAAAGGGGAGTTTAGCGTTTCAGGCGTTTTCCAAAAGTTTCTCATCCGCACGGAAACACTTAAAAACGCTAGTGTGAACGGAAGGGTTTCTAAACGAAAACACCGTTTTCAAATCCAGAGTTAGACGAAAGATCAGAACCAATCAGAGTGTCCTGCTGTGCCAGAGCGCATATTAAGAACACTGGGATAGGAAAATGTATTTTAAAATCCCCCGCATTATTAATTCTCTTTGACTTTAATGTGGTTCCTGAAAGCAGAAGTGGACCTCTTATCATCTATTGCTCCACATCTGAAGGCTTTTCTCCCGGCTCTATGATGGCGTAATGCATCTGAAGAGAGACTGACTGCATGCCAGCACTATCTTGGGCACTGATAGGAACGGACCCTGCATTTTAAAGTCTCCCTTGGATAGTAAACATGAATAAAAGCTTTCTATACTCTCTCATTCATCTGGAAATACATAAAAAGCAATATACAGGCTTTTTCTGCACTACAAATATGACATTACAGCGTAAGTGCTATTCCATATTTTTGTAGGGTTTGAAAATGCGGCTAAAGCCCTATTTGGATGAGAGTAGTTTTCTAAACGACAGTGAGTTACAAAATTACAAAATAAAATTTGCGTGATTTTGCTCTATTTATTGATTTTATGTTATTCATCGTTCCCGCACCTTGGTTAACATCAAATTCAAGGACCTTTCAATGAATTTCCAAGTCCATAAAATTCAAGGACTTAATGTGGGGACAATTCAAGTGAGAGCAAGGTTAAATAATGTATGTAAGGTACCTTGTTACAGTTTTCATCTGTCAAACAACTAGGCAAAAAGCTTTTTTTTGGCATTTTTTTGGGCCATATGACAAGAGATCTGATATTCCATTTGTCATATTTATGTTTTGAATAAAACCGAAGAATATTTGGTACATCCTAATCCTATACAAAAATAATGAATAAATAAATATTGTATAAAATAAAAAAATGTGTCAAGGTCCTGGAACTGATTATGTCAACATGACAACTTGACAGCTCAACAATAAAACATGAGAAAACATGAGAATGAGAAGACATGTTTTTTTTTTAAACCTCCATTATGCCTGTTTACAGCGTATGTTCTCTAGACTCTTTTGCTATGAAAAAAAAAAAAGATGCAAACATGCATTAACCACCAAATGAATGTCTGGGACCTGAGTCTATGTAAGTTACGGGACAAATCCACTGTCTATGGACAAATCATGTCCCGGATTTATTTGATTCGGAACGCATCATTTTACATTTAAATAAGGGACAAAAAAGAAAAATTCTCTGTATTCTTCTTTGGTGAGCCAAATATCTTGAAACTTGCATTTTCCAAGCATCACATTTCGGCGGTTTCAGCCTATTTTTGCAATGTTTCACGGTGTGTCTGTGAAATGTTAAAGTACCATCGTAGTAGTTTCATGCTCATGTGAACGTCATGGAAACGTACAACAAAGTGCCTTATGCGGGAAACACTTGACCAGAGAATGTCTAATATGGGACTTGACTTTGACCATTGGACTTAACGTGTAAATGCACGAAGCTAATGCAAATCAAGCAAGCTAGTGTGCATATGCCACGAAGTGTTGGCGAAATAACACATTAGCGGACCGGAGGGAATAATATGGATTTTTTTTTTTTTCCAGAAAACTTAAATTCAAGCACTTTCAAGGACCTGTATCTATGCATGTTTATTTTCAAAGAACTTTCCAGGGCCTTGAAAACAAAAAATCAGATTCACAAACGTTCAAGGATTTCAAGGACCCGTGGGAACCCTAAAGTATGCCGAAGATTGGTGCGTAAACGATAGCTCAAGTAGGACACATTTCCCAAACAAGCTCAAAGTGCTCCACCAATCACAACACACTGGTCCAGCCGACCAATCAGAGCACAGTGTGCTTTTCAGAAGGAGGGGCTTCATAGAGACAGGAAGTAAACAGAGCGTTACCGACACACTGGGAAGAGAGGAGCCACAACAATGGAGAATATGAGGAAATAATCAACATTCAAGCAGGAAAACCTGTAGAAGCTTGTTTCGGCCAAAGAATAAAACAGTTTAATAGATAATTGCGACTTTTTTATCTCACAATTACGAGTATAAATCTCACAATTCTGACTTTTTGGTAAGGTTCATTAGTTAACTACCTTATGGCTCTTTCAGACTGCACGATTTTCAAAGTAGTCAGGTCGCTGCTCTTTTCACACTGCATGACTATCTTGGCCAGCATTCAGTCGCTGCTGTGTTCACACTGGACGATGGATCGGCGACAGAAGGTTTCACACTGCATGACTTTAGAAAAATCGCCGACAGACTCTGTCTAGCACGCTGCACGCAAACTACATTTCACAACAAACACGCGTGAGATATGAAAAGGAAACAACGCGCGACACCACACGTGCAAGACCGGAGTTCTCACGTGAGACTTTTTTTTCCGACCCGGTTGTGGTACAGCTGGTGAAACAGACACGAGTGCTCCTGCCAAATTTCTACTAATTTTTCTTCCATTTATTGTGTCCAAATAGACCGAGAAAAAGCTTTTTTTGTTGAAACAATGCCATATCATGTTGATATGTGATCTATAACTCCTCCCCGAACTCCCTGCTGCTCTGTATCTTGCTCTCTCACTGGCTGCCGGTGATCGCCGATGTAGTTTTCAGTCAAAACACTTTTCACACAGCAGGATTTTGAATCGCCGACAGGTCCAGATATTTAGCATGCCAAATATCTCACGGGCGTCGGCGACTCGTCGGTGATTCTCTCAGTTCGCGTCTTTGTTCATTCACACTGCGTGATTGTCACTCGCGTGAACGAGCGCCGATTTGCCTGTGATTTCGGGCATTTGTCGGCGATTTCTCAAAACCTGTCGGCGAGCCAAAATCGTGGCTAAAATCATGCAGTCTGAACTCGGCATTAGTTAACATGAACAAAGAATGAACAGCTGGATTTTTATGAACTAACATTAACTTTATAAATATTGTAACAAATGTATTGCTTGTGGTTAATTCATGTCAGTTAATGCATTAACTAATGTTTTCTAATGAACCTTATCATAAAGTCTTACCGACTTTTTTTCTTGCAATTGTGACTTTATATCGACTTATATCTCTCAATTGCATGTTATAAAGTCAGAATTGCAAGTTCTGACATCCTTTCTCAGAGATATAAACTCTAAAATCTTTACAACACACAATTGCGACTTTATATCACGCAATTCTGAGATAAAATTCAGAATTGTGAAATAACTTTTCACTTTTTTATAACAAGCTTCCATAAAAAACTTGTTCTAGTAGAGCCCCAGAACAATATCAAGATTAAGACCTCTTTAACTAAGCTCATCGTCTGTGTATTTGGAATCTACTTCATGATGGAACTCGCAGTGTAAACACAGTACTCACTAAATGGCATAGAAAAAATACTAGCTGTAAAGTATATATATATATATATGATTTACAGTAGTTGAAGTGAATGAATGGCACGTACCCCTCTGGGTGCTGGAGAACAGACACCATCAGCTCCACAGCAAGAGCTCCAGCGATCATGGCCAGACCCGGGCGGCTCACTGTACACTGCTGGTCTAGAGTCCTGTCTCTGGTGGACTAATGAGGGGAGAAGAGCTCACTAATGAGGGGAGAACAGTTCACTACTGAGGGGAGAATAGTTCACTATTGAAGGGAGAATAGTTCACTATTGAAGGGAGAACAGTTAACACTAGAACGGCCACAACGGTCATTTTGACCGTTTTGAATTTTATATCTACAATAACTTTGTTGAAAAAAATAATAAAATCCTGCTGGTACCTGACTTTTCCTAAAATTGTCTGTATTTTCATTTAAAATGATTTTCATATAAATTAAGTTACGTAAAAAATTAAGTAGGCAAAACAAAAAAAATGAACATATTTACCTATTTCGGCCATAGACGGTCATATTGACCGCACTGAATTTTGCGGTATTTTTTTTGTTAAATATCCCGCGGTTGATCGCGTTCTCTCTCAACTGTCAACAGAAAGGTCCGTCCGGTCACCTCTGTAGCAGTGTTTGCTATAATAATTTCTACATTAGTTGTTGATGGAAAATAAGCAAATAAAACCGGACTACAGTTATCTACAGTGTTGGGAGTAACGCATTACAAAAGTAATACATTACAGTAACCTATTACTTTTTGCTGTAACGCAGTAGTGTAAGGCATTACTAATCAATTTTCAGTAATATTTTACTCGTTACATGTTCAGTGAGGCTTGTATTACAGTTGTATTACAGTGTATTGTCTGCTTTTACTTCTTAAAGGCAACAGACTATGTGAAAGTTTTAAAGCAGTCTTTTAGTGCCAGTTCAGAGCGGTCGCGTCTGTAACATTGTTTTTTCCTCATAAATGCGAACACGAACACGAAAACTAAAATAAAATGAATATTTTAAGTTCTATGGAGACTGGAGAGCCAACCCTTCCTCATCCGATTTGCGCAGTGTAATTAACAGAATTACAAAAAATATATTTTGCCTCCTATTTTTTTGTCACGCATGAATGTGTGTCTTTTCCCTAATATTAAAAATAAAACAGACTGATATTTGTCTAATGTCTGGAGTCCTTTAAGGAAGTAGCCTATTTTCAATACATGTATTTTCTGAGAATTTTTATTTCAAGTTTTGACTGCAAATGTCATCATGTCCATAATACTGGACTTCCCCAATTTTCAATAATTTATCCTCAACTAGTTTTGTGGTGTAGGTCTACGTATTTTATAATGTTAACTTCAAATAATACTAATAGCCTAATTTACGGATAAGGCAGCATTGGATATGGACGGTAAGGAGAATAACGCTGGAGTTGGAAGAGGTTTGTCGCGATTCTGTAGGTTCGTGGATCTGAGTCGTGTGGCGAATCGCGATTTCGGTTTCATATTGCATATCGTTACAGCCCCAATGTTAAGTTCTACTTAGTTATTTTGGTGAAAGTAACTCAAAAGTAATACATGAGTAATGTAACGCATTGCAATTCTGGGACAGTAATATTGTAAGGTAATGAATTACTTTTAAATAACAGTAACAAGTAATACCTAATGTATTACAGTTTGGAAGTAACTTGCACAACACTGGTTATCTATAATACTTACGTTATCTATAGGCTATATAGCCTATATATATATTGCAAGGCTAAAATGTCTAAAATGAATGAGCGAATGAAGAGGAACATGACTCGAACCATGGCCCTGGAGATGCTTCAGAACTTGACGAGTGATGATTCGGATGCAGGGGAACAATCGGAGGTGGAAAGTGACAGCGACGTTTCCTGGGTGCAAGTTATCATTTCCTCCTCATCAGAGAGTGATTCAGAGTCAGAGTCCACATCAAGGAAAAAGAGACGGCTGCTATCATCAGACACGGCGGATCCAGATGTTCCGTTCATGTCGGATGATCCTGGTGAGCTCTGCTGCCCTGTCCTGCGCTGTCTGTTTTGCTTCATGGGTTGTTCACTAGTTCTGCTAGTCCTATTATTTTTATTAGCCTATTGACCGCTTCGCAAATCGTCTAACATTTTCGTCATAGTTTTTGTCATTCAAACCTAGTTTTATATTTAGTTATCGTCTCGTTTTCGTCTTTGAAAAAATGTGGTTTACGAAAATAATTACAAAAATTATTCGTCAACACTGTTTTGAATCTAACGGTCAAAATGACCGTTTGTGGCCGTTCTAGTAGTTTTGGAATTCTGGCACTTCTAGTGTTAACTAATGAGGGGAGAACAGTTAACTAATGAGGGGAGAACAGTTCACTAGCAAGGGTTAAACGACAGCCGAAACCACAAATCATGGAAACCAAACCTTTTCATTATGGCTTTTGCACCGGGTAGTTCTAGGAACTCGCCGCCAGGGTGGTTTCCCGAGAACTGACGGTTCTAAAGCTAAAGCTAACTAAAGCTAGAGCCACACAGTGCTTGCGTTCTCTGTGTTCATTAGTTAATGATCTGTCTAACAGTCCTGTCTAATACATCATTAGATAGTAGACAGTAATGAATGTCCAGTGTTGCTGAGGAGAAACACATAATCATGTTTCTCTCGGTTATGTTGGGTTTTCTCCTCAGCGTAAAGGTTAACAGTTCAATCTCTGTTTTACATGTTCGTAGAGTTAGTTTCTGAAGTAAATATATAGGCTATAATCTGCGTTTACACTGCTTTTTAAATGATGGCGGGTGCTGGTGTTTCGTGTGCGTTCGGCCAATTAGCGAATAACGTCAGTGTAAGGAGGAGTAAATGAGTTCCAAGAACTAAAATCGTTCTTCTGCCAATAGTTCCAGGAACTATGGAAAGGTTCCTCCGGTGCGAAAGCCCCTATTATCCAGTTTGGAGATCATTTTCAATCATATTTTGCTTCAGGTTATGATTTCCAGCTAAGAGTGTCCATTGAATTCAAGGCACTTTAGCATATGATTGATTGGTTTGAGCTAGAATTTAATAAAATACATGTCCAGAGAAAAAACTAATTTCCCTACGGATATGAAAGTAATTGATTAAAACTCACATCTCCGGGGGCGACCACATCATTACAGAAGTAGCAGCCGAGGCGGTGTCCGGGTATGTTGGAGAATAGAGATGCTCCTGAGAATTAATACAAGTAGATGTATTAATAGCAGAATAACAAGAACACACCTCAGAATCTCAGAATACAGCATCCCTATACAAGCTGACCAATGAAACTCTATGAATCCTGATCAGTGAAGGCTGTGAACCAATCCTGCGAATGAATAGATTTGAACATGTGATCATGTCTCGTATTGCACTTATTAGTGTACAAACATCTCCAAAAGCAAAATAAATGTTTGAATCTTTCTGGAAGATGGAAGTAAGTTTGAATTTTTTGTCATTAGATGACAGTTTTACAATATATCGGACACCATATCGGTATCGGCCAATATATGTTCATTTTTAATGTGATCATTATCGGCCCGATTAGCAAATGTGGCCTATGTATTAAAGCTGATAAATAATATATTATTTCCTTTAGATGCGACTGTTCAAGATGATGGTTTTGTATCGCTTGAAATATGATCGGAATCACTTCAAAAAGGAAAATACAGTAAAGTGCAACACAAGTCTGTCATATCGGCTACATCCAATTATAATGAGAAGATAATTATAATTATGTGTTTGGGACATAGAGTTTAAATGTTTAGATTTGTGTTTTTGTAATCAGGCTCTCAGAACAAATAGACAATAAACAATTTTGGATTCAGATTTATCGGCCAATATATCGGTTATCGGCTTTCAAATATAAAGAATTATCGTATCAGCCGATAAATATGTAAATATCATATCGGCGCATGCCTAATTTTATTCATAGAAGAAATGTTAATTTTCAATCAACATTGCAGGATTGGATGTGTTTGCGAGCCTACGTTGCAATTAAAGAACAGTGTTTTACTATGACAGTTGTAATAAAACACTTTGGTTACACTTTTTGTAACCATGTGTCTCTGTTACAGTATACAGTAAATATACTTGAAAGCTTTTTACCAGTTGTGCCTGAACATTAAAATGTAACTAAAAATAACTATGTTTAGAAGCATTTTTAATAGGGATGCACACATTTTTGTCTGATAAAGATAACCGATAATTATGTATATTTGAAAGCCGATAACCGATATATTGGCCGATAAATCTAAATTCAAATTTTTTTATAATTTTTGTGAGCCTGATTACAAAAATAAGTCATGCATCAAACAAACGTATTTCAACCGAATCCGATATGGTGGCCGATAAATCGTGTATCCCTAACCGATAATTATGTATATTTGAAAGCCGATAACCGATATATTGGCCGATAAATCTAAATCCAAATTTTTTTAATAATTTTTGTGAGCCTGATTACAAAAACAAGTCATATATCAAACAAACATATATCAACCGAATCCGATATGGTGGCCGATAAATCGTGCATCCCTAACCGATAATTATGTACATTTGAAAGCCGATAACCGATATATTGGCCGATAAATCTAAACCCAAATTTTTTTATAATTTTTGTGAGCCTGATTACAAAAACAAGTCTCACCATTAAAATCCATGTCCCAAGTCACAATTATAATGATGTTCTCATAATTGTATGTAGTCGATGTGACAGACTTGTGCTGTACTTTACTATATTTCCCTTTTTTGAAGTTATTCCAACATATTTCAAGTGATTCAAAACCATCAGTTGCATCTGAAGGGTCTCAGCTAAAGGAAATAATAAATTATTCATCGTCTTTATTATATCGGCCACATTTTCCTATCAAGTACTGTATATAATGATAACATTAAAATAAGCACATATCAACCGAATCCGATATAGTGGCCGATAAATCGTGCATCCCTACTTATTAACATTTATAACATAAGCCTCCTACAAAACTGAGCAACACATATCAGTACAATCCATTCTTGGCATGAACAAACATACACAACATTTTACAGATTTCTTTTGAGTTGGTATTACATAAGACATATTGTAGACTCTATACAACGTGATAAATGCACCAAATTAGTTGCATGCAGTACCTAACTGAACCAAACTATTAATAAAAATGACTGTAAATGAATGTTAATGTTATAAAAAAAAAAACATGGAAAAAGCAAGTAATCATGACCCAAAGGTAATTATCACAGATATGATCATGCCAATTCAGGCTAAAGTTGCATTTTCAAGATTTTTCACCTGCTGAAAACACACCTTACACACTCACTGGCATCAGAAACACACACTGAGTCACGAGCCGTCACACAGATGTGCTCCTGTGTTCCAGATCGACGGAGTGAGAAATAACAGAACTGAATGCAGGGGTCTTGGTTTTACAAGCTGTAGCTTGACACAGTCTTAAAACACGGCTCTCATGCAGTGACACAGAACCTAAGCAACATAAGATTCATCTGTTCTGCAATTCCATGATATTCTCAGGTTTTTATTGAGCACATGCATCTCTGTCTTAACTATGAGGACTTTGAGGTTTATTGTAGACCAGGGTTATTACCGCTTACTAAAAATATAGTCCTATTCAGATGGTAATTGTTTCTCATGTGGATGTCTGTAAAAATGAATTAGAATGGCACCTCAGTGAGAAAACCCGTGCATACGGATGGAGATTTATTAAAGGTGGAGGAGGGAGTTTTATAATCCCACGAACCCGGGAATGCACTGCTCACGTGATCAGCAGATCACGTGCTGTAAACAAAATGTTATATGCTTGGAATAATATGAACAAATTAGTACTTAATTTGATAATAGGCAAATAATGTTCTTTTTATTATTTAATTATTTAATTCTCATTTTGAAAAATAGATAGCTAGATGCCTGTATATTTGAAATGGTTCTTATATTCTTGGATGCCATTTTAAAAATATGGAAGGTAAAAAAAGTCCCCTTGTGGTGAAAATCCAGCGTTTAATGATGTTTATGTGTCTATGTGGTGTTTTTAATATGCTTTAAGACAAAACGTGTTTAAATTCATAGTTTGACAGCATTGCTGAGTATTTTTTGATTAAAACTGCAGTGAACCAAATACAGTCTCAAAAACACGGTTTGAAATCGCTGGTGTTTCTGACGTCACAAATGATCAGATCACATGTGATCAGTGGATCTGTGAGTTGAGTGAGTGAGTGAGTGGAGGCGGGGCTCATTTGCATATTCATAGAACCACCTATATTAAATGTGGGTATATTTGTGGCAATAGCCAACAATACATTGTATGGGTCAAAATTATTGATTTTTATTTTATGCCAAAAATCATTATGATATTAAGTAAAGATCATGTTCCATTAAGATATTTCGTAAATATATAAATCATGTATTTTTGTGAGTGAATGCAGCACTATTGCCAACATAAATGCACAACTTTAAAGGAATTTTCTCAATGTTTAGATTTTTTTGCACCCCCAGATTTACAAATACAAATACAAACCATACATCACTGGAAAGCTTATTTATTCAGCTTTCAGATGACATAACGCACCTGGAGTGACAGTGGATGCTGGCGTTGAGGAACACGAGGAGCTGGAAGAAGCAGACATGGGGCTGGACTCCTCAGACTGTGGCTCTTTGGGTTTCTTTAGGCCGTGTCTCATCACCACAAACGTGTCGAATCCCAGAGCAGCGTTGACTATCAACTGCAGAGACACACACATATTAGCAGCTTCACAGATTGGAAAAAATCCAAAAGTAAACCCATTTACTTTGGATTTGCTCTCAGACTTTTTGAGCTAGCACCTGTACTACTATTTTTCCTAATAACTATTAATATAATTAAATTACTTTTTCCTTACACTACTGTTCAAAAGTGTGAGGTTTGTAAGTTTGTATAATGTTTTGAAAGAAGTCTCTTAAGCCTAGTTCACACTACGTGATTTTAAGCCCGATTTAAGCCCGATTTGCAAATCGTTGAGTCGCCGACAAGTCAGGGTGTTATCGCGTGCAAATCGCGGGCGATTAGCGGACGATTAACGCTCGCCAATCCGTTAGTGTGAAAGAGCCAACAACGCACCAAAGACAGCTCGCAGACAGGTCACCGAGCTCAGAAAAATATCTAGCATGCTAGATATCTCGAGCAGTCGCGCGACTCAATCTCAGTGATGTCATGAGTACAGCCAATCATAGCAACGCATGGGTTGAGGACACCAGGTAAATCTTACTTTTTCTTTTCTTTTTTGCATTTTTTTTTCTCAGAGCAGATCGTCGAGCAAACAGTGTGCAGCACTAGTTTCTGTCTGACGTCCATATTCGCGTGTTGTGTTCTTCTCTGCAGTTTCGCGTCATTTTTGGTTCGTTTTATTGCGTGGTTTTTCGTGACAAAACATGGTTTCTAGACCAGATAGAATCGTGTTGATGTCAACTCGTTATTTGTTTGATTATTTTCAGGATTTAGACCGTACTATAGTACTGAAACAGCTCTCATTGAGTCACAAATGATATGCTCTTATCATCCGATCGTGGTTGTATCTCTATGTAGTGCGTTGTTAACTCGTGTAGTGAGTTACCTCCTGTTGTGGATCAATCACGTTGTGTTGTGTGGTGTGAACAGCTAAACAACTTGAACACTCATGATTTCACTGAGAGCAAGTCATGTAGTGTGAACTGCACAGTTCAGCCCGACATTTTAAAATCATGTAGTGTGAACTAGGCTTTATGCTCACCAAGACTGCATTATTTGATCAAAATGTGAATATATAGTAAAGTGTAATTTATTCACGTGATCAAAGCTGAATTTTCAGCACCATTACTCCAGTCTTCAGTGTCACATGATCCTTCAGAAACCACTCTAATATGATGATTTGATGCTCAAGAAACATTTATGATTATTATTAATGTTGAAAACAGTTTCAAATTGTTTTGTGGAAACTTTTGTACATTTTCAGAATTCTTTGATGAATAGAATCCTCAAAAGAACAACATTTCTTTGTAAAAGAGTCTTTAGAACATCATGAATGTCTTTACTGTCCCTTTTGATCAATGTAATGCATCCTTGCTGAATAAAAGTATTCATTTCTTTAAAAAAAGAAAAATTACAGCCCACAAACGTTTGAATGATAGTGTTTTTATATCGTCATTTTCCATTCCATCATTCCAGTCTAGGTGAGTGACAACATTCTCATTAGATGGTCAATGTATTTTAAATCAAGAAAAAAATCTCTATTGCGTGACAGGTTTTTTTTTTTTTCTTTTGTAGTCTGTGTAGTCTGAATGGTCAACTTAAAAGGTGAAACACATGCAAAGTGAGATATATCAAGCTTTTATTTGTTATAATTTTGATGATTATTTATGAAAACCTTTCACAATATTCTGCGGTTTTCATAAACTAAGCCATAAAGGCTTGAAATATCTCACTTTGCATGTAATGAGTCTATATAATATAGTAGTTTCACCTTTTAAGTTGAATTACTGAAATAAATGAACTTTTGCACAATATATTCTCATTTGTCGAGTTTCGCCTGTATGTGTGTGTATACATATTGTACGGTGACGCATTGCAAATGTAGAAGCATACTATTTAAGAGTTAAGTGCTCTTAAATCAGATATAAAGGCAAACCCTGTGTAACACTTACCAACAACTGCAGCAATAACATGCTATATAAACAGGCAGGCATGGGAGGGGAAAATAAATAAATCATTAAATAAAAGATAAAGGACTGGCGAGGGGAAGCTACCTTCCTCTGGCTCGCAGCGATGACTGTGGGAAGCCAACGGCTCTCGCGAGTGTCCATCAACAGAAAGACCACGTCGTGCTCAGAGATAAGCTTCTCCAGCTGCTCCACATCATGCCGAGCTTGAGCCGTCGTCAGCTCAGAGAAGTTCACGGGATGTCCTGGCATAGGGATGCTCATGTTGTGGCCCTCTGCGTTCTGGACGGGGAAAATAATAGAGGAGTCAACATTTGAAGTGGATCAAAACATTGCTGACACTTTTCCATACGTTTCATTAGTTAGCATGAACTAATGATGAAGTGCACTTATACAGCATTTATTCATCTTTGTTAATTTCAACATTCACTAATACTTTATTAAAATCTTGTTAACATGAGTTAATGCACTGTGAACAAACAATGAACAGATGGATTTGTATTAACTAACATTAATAAAGATTAGCTAATGAACTAATGAACCTTATTGTAAAGTGTTACCAAAACCTTTCATCAAAGTTATACAGGAATTGTTCTATATACTACCGTTCAAAAGTTTGGGATCGGTAAGATTTTTAATGTTTTAAAAATAAGTCTCTTCTTAATTATACTGTAAAATATTGACAGTTTAAAACAGCTGTTTTCTATGTGAATATATTGTAAAGTGTAATTTATTCATGTGAACAAAGCAGAACTTTATGAAACTATTTGAATTTTTTGATCCACTTCTAACGTTGACTTGTGTATATTCACAACACATGACACGCAAAATGCTTAGTCGCTAAAAATCTAAAACATTACAAGCAATGCATCAAGTAAAACGATTTTGAACACCGAATCTTGCGAGAGATTGTAGATACTGAAGTATCTACCAAGCAAATGTTCAAGCTGTTTATACATTTCTGCAGTTCAGAAGGTTAGAAAATAAACATATTCATCAACATAGTTCTGAAAGTATATCCCATGCTTCCTGATTACATTACCTAAAACATGGACAATGTAAACAGCAGAGGTCCTAAGACCGAGCCCTGTGGGACTCCACAAGATGCATTTCCCTCAAAACAAACCAACAAAAAAAAACCTATAGATAAACTTGGACTTTAGTTATTTGTGTTGTACTAACCAGCTGGGAATAATATCCTGCATTGTATCAAAGGCTGCACTGATCATGCAAATCTATACATATTGTGTTTATCATTTATCGGCACACAAAAGTAAGTCTCTGATCGCATTTCAAACAAGCGCTGTTTCTGTACCGTAGTAAGAATACAAAAGTGAATTTCTTGTGTAGATTATCATCAAACATATTCATTTAATTTGCCAAAGAAAGCATAATTTAGTGTATATATATATATATATATATATATATACAAACACACACACACACACTGCCCTTCAAAAGTTAAGTATCGAGTATAAGATTTTTAATGTTTTTAAAATAAGTCTCTTCTTAATTATATTGTAAAATATCGACAATGTAAATCAGCAGTTTTCCATGTGATTATATAGTAAAGTGTAATTAAATCACACATATTTAAGTGTAATTTAAGTGTAATTCTGTGCTCAAAGCTAAATTTTCAGCATCATTACATTACAGTCTTCAGTGTCACATGATCCTTCAGAAATCACTCTAATATGATGATCAAGAAACATTTATGATTATTATCAGTGTTGAAAAGAGTTCATTTTTTCAGGATTCTTTGATGAATAGAAAGTTCAAAAGAAAAGCATTTATATGAAATAGAATAGAAATTATATTATTCACATTATTCACAGTATTACTGTTTTTGTGGGTTGTTCGTTTCAGAGTCATACTCGGGGTGTTCGGATCCAAATGGACCCAAACGGCGGGATACATTTAAAAAAAAAAAAAAAAAAATCCTGATTTTTTTTTTTTTTAACTGTTTTTTTTTTTATAATATTTTTTTCTTTTCTATTTTGGTGTTTTTGATAAAATTTCAAATATAAAAAAAAAATATATAATTATTATTAATGCAATAATCATGACAAAATTTCCCCCCATTGAACATAATAGAAAAATATTTAAAAAAATATATATTTTTTTAAAGCTGTATTTCATTTTAGAGTCAAGCCTAGGCCTCATAAAAGCAATTTTTGAAATGAGATGGATGCCATCTGGTGGACAAACTGAGCATTTTAAAAATACAAAACACGTATATCATCTGAATTTTTTGGTGTGTTTGTGTATAAAAGTGTGTGTGTCTGGATGTGTCTGTTTTGCACTCTTGATGTTTTATAGATTCACCCCTTCACTGTTGTGTGCTTTTTTTCAAGATCGTGGCTGATTTGTAGATTGTGCGCACAAAAAAACTTTTCATATTTTTGCCAATTTCCCATTCATTTTCCATGTGGGTCCATTTGGACCCGAACACCCCAAGTGTGACTATTTTTTTTACAACCACTTAGACTATTCACATCCTGTCCCCAATTTTTGGGGGTGTTCAAATACCAAATACCAACAAAGTCACCAAATTTCGGACCATTCCGAGGAAGCTGTGATTAAAAAAAAAAAATATTTAAATTCTTTGGGTCCATTTGGGCCAAACAACCCCAGAGGGTTAATCAAATAAATGCAGCCTTGGTGAGCAGAAGACTTATTTGAAAACATTCAAAATCTTACCAATAAACCAAACTTTTAAATGGCAGTGTGTACACACACACACACACACATATATATACACTTACCGGCCACTTTATTAGGTACCCCATGCTAGTAACGGGTTGGACCCCCTTTTGCCTTCAGAACTGCCTCAATTCTTCATGGCATAGATTCAACAAGGTGCTGGAAGCATTCCTCAGGGAGTTTGGTCCATATTGACATGATGGCATCACACAGTTGCCGCAGATTTGTCGGCTGCACATCCATGATGCGAATCTCCCGTTCCACCACATCCCAAAGATGCTCTATTGGATTGAGATCTGGTGACTGTGGAGGCCATTTGAGTACAGCGAACTCATTGTCATGTTCAAGAAACCAGTCTGAGATGATTCCAGCTTTATGACATGGCGCATTATCCTGCTGAAAGTAGCCATCAGAAGTTGGGTACATTGTGGTCATAAAGGGATGGACATGGTCAGCAACAATACTCAGGTAGGCTGTGGCGTTGCAACGATGCTCAATTGGTACCAAGGGGCCCAAAGAGTGCCAAGAAAATATTCCCCACACCATTACACCGCCACCACCAGCCTGAACCGTTGATACAAGGCAGGATGGATCCATGCTTTCATGTTGTAGACGCCAAATTCTGACCCTACCATCCGAATGTCGCAGCAGAAATCGAGACTCATCAGACCAGGCAACGTTTTTTCCAATCTTCTATTGTCCAATTTCGATGAGCTTGTGCAAATTGTAGCCTCAGTTTCCTGTTCTTAGCTGAAAGGAGTGGCACCCGGTGTGGTCTTCTGCTGCTGTAGCCCATCTGCCTCAAAGTTCGACGTACTGTGCGTTCAGAGATGCTCTTCTGCCCACCTTGGTTGTAACGGGTGGTTATTTGAGTCACTGTTGCCCTTCTATCAGCTCGAACCAGTCTGGCCATTCTCCTCTGACCTCTGGCATCAACAAGGCATTTCCGCCCACAGAACTGCGGCTCACTGGATGTTTTTTCTTTTTAGACCATTCTCTGTAAACCCTAGAGATGGTTGTGCGTGAAAATCCCAGTAGATTGGCAGTTTCTGAAATACTCAGACCAGCCCTTCTGGCACCAACAATCATGCCACGTTCAAAGTCACTCAAATCACCTTTCTTCCCCATACTGATGCTCGGTTTGAACTGCAGGAGATTGTCTTGACCATGTCTACATGCCTAAATGCACTGAGTTGCCGCCATGTGATTGGCTGCTTAGAAATTAAGTGTTAACGAGCAGTTGGACAGGTGTACCTAATAAAGTGGGCGGTGAGTGTATATATATATATATATATATATATATATGAGAGAGAGAGAGAGAGAGAGTGAGCGAGAGAGCAAGCAAGAGAGCAAGCAAGAGAGAGAGAGCGAGAGAACGAGTGAGCGAGAGAGCAAGCAAGAGAGCAAGCGAGAGAGAGAGAGAGAGAGAGAGAGAGAGAGAGAGAGAGAGAGTGTGTATCTGGTTGGTTTAATTGGCATGACACACACAGGGGTTCTGTGAAGGTGAATATGTGGCATAATTAGCAGATCAATACAGGATGAGAAGATGAATTAATGATGAACACAGAGTAAACTAAACACACACGGATGATTTCATCAGGAGGACGGACGGGGCAGCTGCCGACACACACACACACACACACACACACACACACACACACACACACACACACAAGAGAAGAGCAAAGATTAATAAACCAGGTGTACTAAAACAAACTCAAACTCTCTCACACTCACACACAGACAGACAAGATAGAAAAGCAAAGATTATTTCGCCAGGTGAACTGAAACATGCCTTAAGGGCCTGTCCATTCACACTCACACAAACACACACGCATACATGACAGAAAAGCAAAGATTATTTCGCCAGGTGTACTGAAACATGCCTTAATAAAGGCCCGTCCGTTTACAATCACACACAAACACACTCTCACACACACACATACACACCCAAACATAGAGTATCATAGTTATCATTTTGCTAGGTGTACTGAAACATGCCTTAAAGGGACAGTTCACTAATTGAAAATACTGTGTCAAAATTGAAAATACTGTGGAAACAAAGACACCTACATCTTGGATGCCCTTGAGATAAGCTAATACATATCAAAAAATAATTTCAAAGTGAACTATCCCTTTAATAAGGGCCTGTCCGTTTACAATCACACACACACACACACAAACATAGACTTTTATTTCAACTATTATAGTTTATTTCACCAGGTGTACTGAAACATGCCTTAATAAGGGCCCGTCCATTCACACACACACACACACACACACACTCACGCATTCTCTCTTTCTCACACATATTCTCACACACACATAGACATGATAGAAAAGCAAAGATTATTTATCAAAGGTGTACTAAAACATGTATAAGGGCCCGTCCGTTCACACACACACACTCTCTCTCTCTCTCTCTCTCTCACACACAAGCACACAGCTCAACTGATCAGATGGTGCGTGTCTTACATAAGGATATCACTCCCGCTCTCGCTTTAGCACCTCCGTTCTTTGCACTCGGGAAAAATAACATTTGGAGCAAATGAAGAAACTGGCAGAAAAGAGACTTTTAT